AGTAGTAGTAGTAGTAGTAGTAGTAGTAGTAGTAGTAGTAGTAGTAGTAGTAGTAGTAGTAGTAGTAGTAGTAGTAGTAGTAGTAGCTGGTGTAGTAGTAGTTGTAGTAGTACTCTCCCTTCGCGGTATTCCACCCGGGAGCAGTAGTGATCTATCTTCAACCTTCACGCAGTCATAAACCGCAAAATGTTTTCCTAGCACGCCTGCTTTCCTGCTCCCAGCGCAACTAAAATTTCGAGAAAAAAAAATGAAAGCGCGCTCTAGTTTTAAATAGCTGGAGCGAGCAATCAACGCCGAGCAGACGGGCTCGGTTTTTTTTGTTTTTTAAATTTTTCTTCTTGCACACGCAGCTCGTGACAACCACATCACACCGTCTTTAACTAGAACGGTATGTGCATGCGCCTATATATATATATATATAGTTGTTTCTAGCCCCCATGTGAGTTTATTCGCCCCGAAATATTACTTGAGTTCATTAACCTATAACTTTTCTCGTTCGCATTCGCGGCGTAGTCGGCGAACTAAACCTGATCTTTGCTTTATGGATTTCTTTCCCATATATAAGGTTTCACGCGGGAGTGATTTCATGAGATTACTCGTCTCACGTTGCACACCACGCAATCCGGCATGGCAAGCAAACTCGGTCATGGCTATGCGATCATTTTCATTTTACTCTTGTGTACATTACGCTGCAACACACGTCGTCGAGTTTTCATCAAAAAAACCTATTAACTTGACTCGATATTTGACGGGAAGCATCGACGAAGCATTCATCGAGCACGAAAGAAAAGCCAACGTGATGTCAGTCAACCTGAGCAACTACGCCGCTATTTTGCTTTGCTATTTTGCTATTTGGAGCCGGTTGCTTTTATGATCTGCTCGGCGTGCGCGAGGACCGCAGGTGCAAAGGAACCGGTGGGGGGTCGGGGGGCCTCCCCCAGAAATTTTTTAAAAATCAGACTCCTTTTTATGCATTTTCAGAGCATATGAGGCGAAATTTTTGTACTTTAAGTCTTGTCATAACAATGAAACAGACAATTCCAGTACAAGACAAAATCCACAAAGCCACAAAAACCATCAACTTGCTTGAAATTAACTGCCATCAGAGCGACAAAATACTAGTACCCGGTGAAATCAAACTGCGATATGGATTGAACACACTTTTATTACAAAAGAAAATTAAAATCATTACATGTACTAATTTATATGCTTTCCGTTTCATACATTTACTATAAAACTTATCTTACTTATATATGACTGATATATTATCTTACTTAAAACATACTCAGTATTACTCTTGCCACAGGGCGTGTACAGGATTTGTACCAGGGAGGGGTCCAACCGTAACCTAAACTTGGGAGGACGCGAAGGGGGGGTCTGGGAGGCCCTCCCCCCGAAATTTTTTGAAATTAGACCCCCTCAGATGCGTTTTCTGCGCGAGCAGGTGAGGGGTCCGGACCCCCTGGACCCCCACCCCCGTACACGCCCCTGTGCCAGTAGTACTTACTTTTACCAAATTTAGACCAAATGAGTGGGCTCTTGCCAGAGAGAATATAGTAATAGTACTACTACAGGCCCGTAGCCAGGGGGGGTTCGAATGAACGCCCCGCCCCTCCGAGCCCGCCCAACAAAATAATTTTTTTTTTGAAAAAATTTGAAAGAATTGTCACCTCAGGGGTCCCTCCCGCAAAAATGTTAAGTGTAATAAATTGCAGAAATCTCCATCGTGGCGGGAGGTGAACAGTGAACACCGCGCCCTCCCACCTCCCCGCTCGGTCGCTTGGCTCCCTCGCCTGGTGCGCTTCGCGGCCGCGGGAGCAGGGGCGTGTACAGGGGTCCAGGGAGTGTGGACCCACCCTTGCTCGCGCAGAAAATGCATCTGAGGGGGTGTAATTTTAACAAATTTACTCAGACCCCCCCTTCGCGTGCTCGCAACTTTGGGTTACGGTTAGACCCCCCCTGGTACAAATCCTGTACACGCCCCTGCCGAGCAAATTGCCAACATTGAAAAACGAACCCTCCCCCCCCCAATATAAAGCTGGCTACGGGCCTGCTACTAAGTACGTTTTAAGTAAAAAAATGCAAAGATAACATCGAAAACTATTCAGAATGAAATTATTGAAGCAAAATTAGAGGAGGGTTATTACCCCATGAGGGTACCAGTCTATAACAAAGCAATCCACGGTGGCGCAGCCTGGCGGCGATCTGTCGCAGCCCAGACAACAAGTCGGGTCGGCCCCCCGTCCGCCCTAAAAAACTCCTCGGAAAACATCAACTTATTTTTCAGTATTTTTTCTGCTTAAAAATCTTCTTTTTTTTTTTTTAAATTGGAGAAAAAAAATTCCCGTGGGCCAGAAAAAAGGGCAACTCAAAAATTTTAGGGGGGGTGCGCACCCCCTGCACCCCCCCCGGATATGAATTATATTCCTCTAGTCTATCCGACGTGCTACTACGGCCACATACAAACGCGCGCGGTCCTAAAACATTTAAGAAAATGTATTACATGTGGTATTAGGCAACAGTACAGTGCACGAGATAGCCTTTTTTACAAATTCCAAGAAAGCGTTTTGCTGTCGCCCTCATCCCAGCGGTGGTCACCCCCCCCCCCCTGTACAGCAATCAATGCCGCACTGCAAGCGCAAGAATTGTTCTACTAAAAAGAGAATTGTCGTTGTCAGAATGAAGGCTGTACATGTACTCAAAAGTGCCTCAAATACCATCTCATGCGATCTACATTTTCAAAATTTTCTGGCAGAAGACCCCCATACCCCCCGCCTGTTTTTCACCCTCCCCTTCCTTGGAATCCTGGATCCGCCACTGAACAGTTACATATCTAATTGGGAGCAGAGAACAACGAACAAAAATGTTGCGTTTTTGCATGGCGCCGAAAACAAAGATTGCAGAGCTGAGAGGTGGGGGAGCGTAGGGTGTGGAGAGGCAGGCGGAGGAACCATTAAAATATTAATTAAGACATCCACTATTTTGCGCAGTTCGCTGTTTTTGCCCCCCCCCACCTCCGTTAAAAAATCCTGGCTACGCCACTACGCGACCCTCGTATTTCGTAATTTTCTAAACTAACTTCCACCCTTTCAACGAAACACCATCTTTACAACTCTACTATGGGAAAAGTTGCTTTTAAAGGACGATGAATTTGACAGGCAACCGACTGTTGTCGTGTTAACGTGACTGCGGTTAGAACGTACTTTTGCTGGCACGCACGCCGGAGAAGGACTGCATATTTCCAGGCAAAACTAACCGATCGCGGTTGTAATCGCCTATTAGCGTCTTCCAACCAGACGAGTGTTTAGCACGGCTTTTTAATCGGATTTAGAAGTGGCGTCACGTTGACAATGTTGACGGAGGCATGTCTGTCGATTGGCATGTAAATGTTATATATATTACTGTTCCTAGTAAGTGAATTGCACGTCACCGCTGACTATATATTCCTAGCTAGCTCAGACCCAACCATCGCACCACTCCTACTGTGACAGTAACCCAACATGTGAATCTCCTTACTCGACACGACTAATGTAATTGGTGCTTGAAGATCACGTGTGATTACGTCATGTAGTGATTGTTATTTTTTTTATTTTCCGAGTGACTATCTCGGACGGAATTGTATTCAAGTGCGTTGGTACAGAAATCGTGCACTTCAATTTCCTCATTCCAAGTATATCCCGCTGCAAAATGTGAAATAGTTGTCAGGCAGAGGACGTCTGTGTTGGCACAGCCTAGCATGCCCCGCCACCTACTGGTTAGAAACTAAAGGTCGAACTCGGTGAAATGCCAGTGGAGCCATGACGTTTTACGAGTAACATAACATAACTTCGCATACATCAACATACAACGTAGCATAATGCGCGTACTGACCTAATATATTACGAATGTGATGTGATCCCGCAAGCACACGCGACCTATATATTAATCGGTTATTTTCGCAGGGCTATCACAGTCCGACCAGGAGTTTCAGGGGAATCCATTTACAGCAAAACCCGTTACACATTGTCCTTCGCAATGCCGAGCTCCTAGAGCACTGTCTGGCGACGGGCATCCCCCTAGGCTTCAACTTTATAGTAGGCGCACGCTAATACCGATGTTTTACTATTGAAATAGGATTCTGCATGCGCGTTCATCGCATCTCGTCCGTATAGGCTTTGCGGAATTGTTCATGTCTATGCCCGACACCTACTTCTTGTTTCGTTCATACATGCATGCATGCATGTACGGCTCGGGAACTTTAACCAAGTAAAGAATAAACAAAAGCCGTAGGATTTCACTGCTGAACAGCAAGAGCAAGAGTTTATTGTTGGTAAATGTCTTACTTGAAATAAATGCTAGCGTCAGATTTTTTGGTATCAACAAGCGTTGCGTCCCGTTCGAGGCCGAGTCCAATATGATAGATAAGTAAATACATCAGAAAAAAATAGTAACGAATTAAAGAAAGAAGGAATTCTTCACGCTAACACGTAACACTTAACACTTAACACTTAACACTTAACACTGCACTGTAATTAAAATTCCAGTAGTCAACGCGTGGTGGGGCAGGCAAGCGGGACACCATTAGACCCTCCCTAAGCCCCTGCCTCTTGTTAATATAAGACGTTAACCACAGAACTCGAGTTTTTGTGCTGACAAAGCAAACAAACGCAACTTTCAAACGCGTCTTTGAAATATATCCCCTGTTAGCAAGCTA